AATATGATTAGAGTTACTGGATGATCACTATTTTAGTGGGTCTGAATATTTATGTGTTTGTTTCTTGTTTCTTGTTTGTTTCTCCACTAACATGAAATCTCCATAGAACAGGGGCCTGGACACACGGCTTGGAAGATTGACTGGCATAGGAAGTGCTGACTGGCATAGGAAGTGTGAACCCAGGCTCCACGATGAACAAGGTTTGCTGGGCTAAGGGAAAGTAGAGGACGAAGATATACTGATTGAAAACCTAAGTGTAGGAAACATCAAACAAGCTTACGTGTGAAGATAACTGGTGATATAGGACTGGTCAAGCAATTCTGAAGCATCACTTCAAAGGGATGAGGGAACAAAAGCAATTGGGAAATTCAAACAAGGCTGAGTGGCAATACCATTGTTGTCTCATTAAGCCCAGGTTTTCCTAGTAGTTTTTGAAAGCTGTGAAGTAGAGACTGAGATAACTCAACCCAGGCATTGACCATTCCTGTCCTAGGACTCATTTGAATGTTGCCAATACTCCATATTACCCTTTACTCTTGCTTCTTGAGAATGGAATGGAAAAGAAGGGCGCTTTACATTGAAAAATATCTTTAAAACTTTCTTCAATGGAAAATGAACCATTTTTTTTTTTTTTCCTAGTGGAATTTCCAGAGTGAAGAGGGATTTTAGGAGCCTACATGATAACTTCTGTTGTGCCTCAACCTCAACGGTAATAGAGATTCTGGAAACTTTTCTTTTAGACATTTTATTTTACTAAAAATTAGAACTGATGAAGTATTACAGGCCCTTTTTCTAGGAAAGGCATCTAACTTCTTGTTTCTTACACTGCAGATTAGCCTAGTAGTGAGGCTTGACCAAAACAAGAGATGTCAACTATTACAGGCCTTTATTTTGAAATTATCAATTTTTCTTTGAATGAAGAGTTTTAGTTTGTTTGCTTTTCTACCTCTACCATTTGTTCCTTAGGTTAAATGAAGGTAAAGGGGACTCAGAGCTGCTAAGACTTCCTTGACATCCAAAGAACAGAGGAAGAATAAGACAGATAAGCCCTTACTTGGGCCTCATTCCCTGGGCTATTCAGACTCCTGTCCTCCATGCCAGGTACAGGTGCTGACTGTTTTTTCAAACCATCCAAATTTAATGAATAGAACGAAAGAGAAATAGTAAAACAGAAAATGCTAAAATTCAAATGGAACAAAATATTTTTTTTGGTCTAATGTCTGGGCTAAAAGTAGCAAATTTAGCAAAGTGCCTAAAACACAGTAGATATTCAAGAAATATTTGGCAAATTAAAGAAACACCTGTAGGGGTAAATGCAGCAAATAGGTAAACTTGATCCAATTGAACATGATGCTGAACTTTTTGAAAAACACAGAGGATAGAATTCCTTAGAAAGTGGGGTACAATAAAACCCTGAGTGGTGACTTGAGTCATTCAGAGAAAAAGCTGTTGGTAGAAGGCTGTGAGATCACCAGTTCTCTCTTTCCATCATTCCTTGGTGTCCATTGAACTAGCATTCATGCTCGCTGTCTCTGCTTAAACACTTCCTCTATTCATCTGCTTTCTAAATGAATGTGTACCTACAATATGTATCTATTCATTTAAAAATAACTGAATGCACCTGTTTCCTTGAGCTATAAACATGAACATTAATGAGCATCCTGTCTATTTAATAGTTTAATACTGCTTGGCAACCTGTATTTGAGACCACTTGCCCCTTAAGCTCTATCTCTGGGCTGCACCTCTTCCCTCCATCTACTTTTCCTCTGCTCAAGAGAATACTGCTCATGTTATAACCAGTTTCTCTGTGTTTTACAAAAACATCCTACCCTCTCTTTCAGTTTCTCATTTACTTTATAACCAAACTTGTTTTTCTTTAGTGTCGATATTCAAAGTAAATAAGAATTTAAAAAAATATTTTGTTCAATTGGTTTACTTTTTAGAATCCCATAGTATTGTTTTCTACTATTTTCCACTTTAGAGCTCTTTTTTTCTTTTTTTACAAATCATATAATTTGACTATAATTTTGTGGATTAAAAAAAATTGAATGTGGGGCTTCCCTGGTGGTGCAGTGGTTGAGAATCTGCCTGCTAATGCAGGGGACACGGGCTCGAGCCCTGGTCTGGGAAGATCCCACATGCCACGGAGCAACTAGGCCCATGAGCCACAACTACTGAGCCTGCGTGTCTGGAGCCTGTGCTCCGCAACAAGAGAGACCGCGATAGTGAGAGGCCCGCGCACCGTGATGAAGAGCGGTCCCCGCTTGACACAACTAGAGAAAGCCCTCACACAGGAACGAAGACCCAGCACAGCAAAAATAAATTAATTAATTAATAAACTCCTACCCCCAACATGTTTAAAAAAAAATCGAATGTGCATCTAACATCATTTATAACATCGTTTCTGTGTGAAAACATTTTGGGTTCTAAATATTTAACTTATAAATTAAACTTTTGAAATAAAATCCAATTGAAATTAGTGCCTGCCTGTATTGTAAATGTGATTTTTAAAACCAGTTGAAAACCGAGAATATTTTTATTTATAAAAAGATTCGTATGAATTTGGAAGACAATTATTCCAACTATTTTAGGACACTTTTATAAAGTAAGTACACCTGAAAACCTAAAGATTTTGAGCATTTTCCCCTTTTAGACCCTTGTCTCAGTGGATTCTACAAGATAGGAAGCAAGAATTAATTTTATGGGTCAAACAGTCTCTGCAGTTTTCCTACTAAATCTGATGTTACTTTTTGCCCTCATTCAGTGCCAGAGGTAATCACAATATTCTGTCGTTTCATGGTTCAGAAGAAAGTTCTTTGTCCCTTCTAACTTAAATGTATACTTCAGAGTTTGGCTTATTAAGTTGGCAAAATGTCTGACATTTTTGCGTTAAAAATAAAGCTATGAGGAAATTCCCTTACTAAAATTAGATAAAAGAAAAATACTCACTTATGAATAAATGGGATACCCTTAGCCAGAAGGTTTTACTTAGCTGTACCAATAAATTATCTTTTGAAAATTTGACACCCACAGGACTTGTATGAGTAGAAACCATAACAGAAGTACAGGCTGGAATTCTTAAAGAAGTGATGCTTACTAGACATATCTAATATTGAAAGAATGACTTGATATTTAGAAAGCTTTGTAAAACTAAAGATTTAAATGTGAAAATAATTGTAGAAATTATGAATTTAATACCCTTTACTATGAGATCATTTATTATTTGGCAACTCTGGGAAACTTTTCAATTGATAGTCATACCCTTAACATCTTTAACATTTAATTTTTAATTTCAAAATATTTACGACTCAAATGAAAGGGGAAAGAAACAGTCTAAAGTCCTTTGTACACTCCTAGGAAATAAAAATATGTAGGAAAAAAGTCAAAATCCTAATTTATTTTCAATATTTTTATATTAATTATATGTCTATAGCTTTAAAATGTTTTCCGCTTGGCTGTTTCCTTGCTGTCATATTATAGAGTAGTGGTTTTTAAACTTTGGAGTGCATTGGGATGATCTGATATACATATTTAAAATGCTGGTTCTAAAGCCCATTCACAAAGATTCTGATTAAGTACGTCTGGCATGGAACCCAGGAATAGAAATTTTCTTAGGTTGGCTTCAGGTTACATTTTGAGATGTTTCTCAAAATATTTGCAGGGTAGAAGATGAAACTGTTTCTAAAATACAAAGTAGAAGAGTATAAAATGGGAATATTTTAAGAACTGTATGGTAAGAACCACACTGTCAGATCATCAGCTGTGCCTTTCATTATAAAATGATTGAAATAACCATTATATATTAGCACTGACAATTATTGCCTAAGAAAGAAACTTTTGATTCTAGGTAATATGCACTTTCAGAACCACTTCATTTGTTTTAATAATCTATGTAAGGAAATTATAAAAATTAGCAAAAAACATGTTTCAGCAATAGCAACTGTGATCCTGTAAAATCATACTGCATCAGAGATAAGAGGAACTTCCAGCATTCAAATGGTTCATTCCCCAAAGGTGAAGAACTGTGTTACAACACAAGCCTACTGGACAGATTTATTTAATAAGATGGTGAATTTATAGGAGTGTATAGTTGGTTTATTTCTGTATGATTTTAGGATCAGAGACCTACTATTGTAGCCAACTTCCTCAGGAAGAAACTAAGATGCAAATAGCAGAATAAAGTTCAAGACACAGCCTCATACTATAACATTATTTCTCCTATATACAATGAGAATCATGTGAAAGACGATTCTTTAGAAATCCAAAACTTCAGTAACATGAGACTCCCAATAATGATTAGTGAGATAATTTAATCACCTCCAATTTACTTCAGAGAATTGTGGTTATGCCGAGGGAAAGGGTGTTAGAAATGACAGAACAAAGAAGCAATTTGATTGGTTAATGAAGAGTCTAAGAATGACAATTGAATTTGATGGAATTCATTAGTTGGGACATTCAAGCAGATACTTTACAACCCCGATTATGTACTCTAACATAGGTAATAGTCACAATGTGATATATGTACTTCATTGTTGAATTAGGCATATAGGAAAGAGTAAGGCATAGTATGGCACAAAGAAACATCAGCCTGAGACAAATCTGCCTCCACTCCCACTCCTTACCCAATATTGTTGCTAAAATATCATCCGTACAGCAGGGCACAAAAGCACAGAGGCAGATGCTATGGCATATTCTTTTAGAATGCAAGGCTGCTCAAGATCATCTACAGATAACGAACCATGACAACTTTGGATTTGATGAAGTACAAAACGAGAGTGGGAGGAAGCAAAATGTTATATAAGTGGCCAGTGCCCCATCAACTAAACTAGCACGTCGAGGGCGTTAATACTAGTAATAATTTCAAAAGACATGACAAATACTAAACATTCTTTTGAAGTAAGAGATACAGTCCTCCAATTTTCCGCACAAATGCATTCTTCTTCCACATATCACAAGTTCATCAACAAAACATATCAAAGTTTCTGTTTTTTTCCCACGTACCTTAGTTAGTTGCAGTGAAATTTCCAGGAATGAAGCAATAGGCAGGCGAATGGTCTCCAATTCAAAGCCAGGCGTTTGTCAAGCTCTTGCTAGTTCTTGTTTTCCTGGTTTCCTTTGAGAGAAAGAGGAGAATGGAAAAAATTCATAAAAATGCTGGCCTGCAACTCTGCACCCGCCTTTGCTACTGAGTGTGTATATAGACTTTTGCTGATGTGGCCCATTCATTATTCACAGCCAGCTCTAGCTTCCTCATTTCCTGGTTGCACTACGTGCTCCAGGCTAAGAACCAAGAGGTATGAATCATGTGGACATAAAGAAAAATCTAGAAGAAGAAATGTTTCAAGAAAGCAACTTTTTTCCTATTTCTTCTGACATAGCCTGTTCTATGGCATTGCTCCGTAGAGGAGAAAGAGCATGTGCCGCCACAGAAGGCACCCAGTGGAATTACCACCCGGGGGGATTATCTCTAAGCAATTCATACTTTGTTTTGCTAACAAGACTCCTTGTTTAGGATACTGGAGTGCTGTCCTTCTCTGGCAGTGTTCCCCCATATTTTAGAATTATTGAAAAGCTAACTGAGTCTATTTTGATTTGTGAACCTCTTTGCAAGCAACAGCAGCGGCAGCCGTGCTAATAAAAAAGAAAGGCATTGTATGTACCTAGGAAGGACACTGAAATACTGCACATACAAAAACATCTGCGTTGTGGAGGAGGTCTATCAAATATTCTAATAGTTCCCTTCCTTCCTTGCTTCCTTTGTCCTTTTCTTCTCCCTCCTTTCTTTTCCATTCTTTTTTCTTTTCTTTCCTTCTTCCTTTTATTCTTTCTGTTTTCTTTAATATACTGTTTTATTGTATTTATTTATTCTTACATACAGGGCAACCTATGGTATTATCTTATATTTGAGATTTTTAAATAATGATTTTAGAATATGGAATCTCAAAAACACTAAAGTAACAGAATCCATCCACGAATGCAGAAACTCACAGAGGGAGACTTTAAGTTATCAGCTGCATCTTGCAGCTCCAATTAAGAACGGAGGCTTTGCAGATTCCAGCAGCTCTGATACTAATCAGACCATTCTGCTCTCTTCACAGCTGAAGTTTCAGTTTTCTGGAGGAAGCTAATATGGCAACACCCTGTTATTTGAGGATTCAAGCTTTCCTACTTCAAGATAAATGAACACACAATCCCCCGCAGCTTTCATTATATCCTGAATAGAATTTTACAGTCCCTCTGAAGTTATTATGGAGTCCTCTTTGCCAACTAATGGACCAGAATCGTTCTGGCATAAATCCATGTAGGAAAATCTTTTGGGGGTTTTCTGGGTTTGGGAAAACCTTAGTTGTTGCTTTAAAGGAGAAGATGCTGCATAAGACAGTGTAATTCCCTGAGTGGTTTCTGAGCTCCATTTTGCCTGGCTGAGATAGACAAGGGAAGGTTGACTCCAGCTCAGGCTATTTCCATTATAGGTACTTATTTATAATCTGCGATACATTCAATGAATATTAATTGAGTGTCTATTGTGGACTGTCTTTTTGTTGGCCAGGTTTTGGGGATAAAAAATGAAAGTTTCTTGCTTCTAAAAGAATTGGCGAGACAGGTAAGGAAATAAATTATTACTACACATAGATAAGTGTCACAATGGAGATGTAGGATGTGGTAGGCATCGATAAAGGATTCTTCCCATCCTCTAGGAGCATTCTAAGTTCTCATGTGGAATGAAGCAGAAAACATCACCAACACTGTGTGTTTATGCACATCTATGTGTGTGCCCTTCACACACACGTGAAGTAAGAGGATAAAACAATAAAGTCCTGATCTATGTCGCTCCCTGGAATTTTTTAATAGTTTACACAACTGTGGCTTTTCACAATTGGATCTTCTTTTCAACAATGGTTCCAAGCATAAAATGGCTTTTCCCACCAGAAAGCATTCAAAACCTCTTTCCCATGGCTACAGGTCCCAGAAAGTATCTGATTTCTCAGAGCACAGCCCCCAGGGTCATTTTCTAAATGTTGGTGAGAATACATGAGTTAGTAATATATACCCATTTTGGAAGCCAAATAGCAAAGATTAAAAAACATCTGTCATTGGGACTGTGAGCCTACAAGCAAGCAGTAGACTTCCAGCAGAGTCTGTGGCAGGAACAGTATGTAACACAGATTTAAAAACAAAAGATTCAACTAGATTTAGCTCAGTCACATGGTTTAAAAGGATATTACCAGCTCCCACCAGAACCCACTTTGCAATGTGTTACATAAAACTATGGGTTGTAAACCTAGGACATTTTTTATAGAAATTCATTCTTTCTCTCAGAAGTGATTTTCTAAATGCTTATTCGTGTCAGGCAGGGTGCAAGACACTGAACGCTCACTGGCCAAGGAGACAAACGGCTGCCTCTAGTGTCCACCTCACCTCGCCCCACGGAGACTGCAGGCTAATGAAAGAGAGAGATGATGAAAACATACATACAGAGCATGTGTCATTACACACTTTACATGTAATAAATTCCAAAAAGGACAGGTAAAGATGCTGGGAAAGTGAGAGCAGGGGAGCTTCATCCAGAATTGGCTTCCTTGCAGAAATCACATTCAGGAATTAGCTGGATTTACGGGTAGGATGGGGTAAAGGGGTAGATTCAAACTATGACAATATATGTGTAAAGTCCTGAGCTCCGTATGCTTGAGGAACAAGGACGACACAAAGGGTCAATGTGGTTGAAATGTAGTGAGTATGGAGAGGCATGGGGGTATCAAGGCTGGAGGCAGGCATGGGGCAGCCTCTGACGAGGGTTCTAGGTGAGGGGACCCTGGAAGCCACTGAAGCATCGACTCCCTTTAGTTACTCTTTGGAGAATGGATTGGGGTGAGGATATTTATCACTATTAAAAAAAAAACAACTTTCTTTTACCTATTCATAGGAGTGAAATTTATCGTATTGATTTAAAAATTAATTTTCTGACTCCCTGACGTTGAATAGGTCTAGGTTTATTTGTTTTCTTAACTTTTCAGTAATGCTGTATTTTTCTTCCCAGTACTTATCATTACGCTGCATATATGCTTGTCTGTTTCTTCCTGGCACCACGACCACCTCTTCAAAAATCTGTAAGAGCTCGAGGTTTTTTCAGTTTGGTTCATTGATGCATATCTAGTGCCTAGAACACCATTCGGCTACTATTCTATACAGTCGTAGCTCAACAAATACATATTGAATGTATAAATGAATGGATAATTTAGAAAACTGTCTCCTGATGCTAGCAATCATTTACTATTATTTTTATCCCTAAATCACTTTCATGCCAGGTCAGCTTTGCATGTTAATGTAGAGCTTATTAGACTAATAAAATGTGCTTCTGGTGATTCATCATTAAAAACAGTATTTGTAAATATATGAAGAGCTCATACAACTCAATAACAATAAAGCAAACAACCCAATCAAAAAGGGGGCAGAAGACTTAAACAGATATTTCTCCCAAGGAGACATACAGATGGCCAACAGGCACATGAAAAGATACTCAACTTCACTAAGTGTTAGAGAAATGTGAATCAAAACTACAATGAGACATCACCTCACACCGGTCAAAGTAGTCATCATTAAGAAGTCTATAAGTAATAAATGCTAGAGAGGATGTGGAGAAAGGGAACCCTCCTACGTTGTTGGTAGGAACGCAAATTGGTGCATCTAATACGGAAGACAGTATGGAGGTTCCTCAAAAAACTAAAAACAGAGTTGCCATATGATCTAGCAATCCCACTCCAGGGCATATATCCGGAGAAAACTCTAAATTGAAAAGATACATGCACCCCAGTGTTCACAGCACCACTAATTACAGTAGCCAAGACATGGAAGCAACCTAAATGACCATCGACAGATGAATGGATAGAGAAGATACTACTGTAACAACTGAGTGGAATACCACTCAATTATGAAAAAAGAATGAACTAATGGCATTTTCAGCAACATGGAAGGACCCAGAGATGATCATACTAAGTGAAGTAAGTCAGGAGAAGAAAGGCAAATATCATATGATATCACTTATATGTGGAATCTAAACTATGATACAAATGAACTTATTTACAAAACAGAAACAGACTCAAACATAGAAAACAAACTTATGGTTACCAAAGGGGGTGGGGAGGGATAAATTAGGAGTTTCGGATGAGCAGATACAAAGTACTACATATAAAACGGATAAACAACAAGGTCCTACTGTATAGCACAAGGAACTATATTCAATATTCTATAATAAACCATAATGGAAAAGAATATGAAAAAGAATATATATATGTATACACACACACGCACACAAATATGTAACTGAATCCTTTGCTATACACCAGAAACTAACACAACATTGTAAATCAACTATACTTCAATTTTTAAAAAAGTATTTATAATTGTAGCTTATGGAAAAGGTATAAATAAACCTATTTGGGCAAAGTAAATGAATAAAAAAATAAAAGATGAGGAACCTAACTTGAAAGCAAAATATATTTGTCCTAACGTACTTCTCTTAGACTTTAGGTTCACTCATTTTAGGGTAAGAGTCAATCATTTTTCAGTAAATTCTCTTGGTATTTTCACAAAACTCTAAATCCTTTTAGTTATTATCAATTTAGAAATGGATACAGATAAAGGGCTCTCTGGTACCATTTATTTGACAGGGGAACTTAGAGGAACTAACCAAATATATGTACTTCAAATCTTGTAATATTAAAAGATATTTTTATGATATAGATGAATTCATAAAAGCTCATAGACAAAATAAAATATCTAGTAAGTTAGGAATTTTAATAGACTGCTTCCACAGAGTGAGATGTTTAATTTATCAATTATTTTCTTCCATTGAACACATGTACTATAAATTTTACTGGGTTAGATACAAATTGTTGTAACACAACAAACAGCTTAAATAATCTAGAGGAATGTGCTTAAGCTACAGTTTTCCCAAGAAAAACTGCCCAACTTATTTGCTTACGGTGCCCTTAATTTTTACTTACGTAAATTCACTTTTTTATAGTGTAATTTAAAAAGGTTAATTTGTATACTGCTTTAATATGAAAAATTTAATGTTGCAGTAGTCAGTGTAAGTTAAATGGTTCAGTGAAC